CTCCACTGCTCCTCTAATGAACAACCCGGAGTCAGCATTTAAGGGAACACATCTACTCCCCTAAAGTCGGGAAGGAGTGAATTTCATCTTGTGAAGTTATGTTCCCAGCTCTCCACTCGGTCTCGTCCCCAAAATGGTAGGAATGTTGAGTCGGCGACTCGGGCCACTCTTACCCATACAGATCAAAGAACGAGCCCTCACGGGCAGGAGTCCATAACTCACTCAGGATTGAGAAAGAGTTGTCTGGTCATCCTAAGAAATGACAATCTATTAGTTAACGGTGTTACAACTAAAGATTGCCTATTTCGCGGTCCGGTCTTATACAAACTCATTGTATAGGATACCCCCACTCGCATGTCTCCACACGAACGACCTGGATCGAGTCGTCTGTAACGTTTACAGAGCGGGCCGTATCCATAGTGTTGCCAGGATAAGGTACCCAGTCTTATCCATATACTATGGACCCTTTAGGTTATTCATGGGACATTATCCATTCATATATCAGGGGTATATAAAATATATACCCCGTATATCAACTATATACCCAGTATATATACTGTCCCGATTACATCACAAATAACCTTGGATGTTTAGATTATTGGATTTTGGATAATGCAAAGCTATGATTCAATTACAAATTTATTGAATAAAACTTTATTAAATAGACATTTGTTTTTACAAAATACAAATTACGAGTTTAGGGCAATACACCCAACATCTTCAAGCTCCTCCGGCAGTTGTTCAAGGAGGAGTAGTTCCTCCAGTTCCTCTGGTAGTTGCTCAGGGAATGGTGGTTCCTCCAGCTCCCCCGGTAGTTCCCCAAATGAACCCTCAAGTAGCCTTCCTTGCGGAAGCACTACAGGTGCTAGTTAACAATACGGCTGGAGCTGGTGGTGCCCAAGCTCGGCAGCCCCAGCAATTTGAAGCTCCTCAGAATGAGGCCTAGTTAATCAAGGATTTCAAGCGTTATGGGCCTCCTACCTTTGACGGAGGAAGTGAGAAAACTATAACAGCAGAGGATTGGGTCAGGGAGTTGGAAGCTCTATACGCATATCTAGGCTGCAATTATCAGTTCAAGGTCAAAGGTGCATTCTTTATGTTGAGAGGCGAAGCTCTGAATTTGTGGGATTCAGTGCCAACTGCAGTAGACTATGCTAATGTACCTATCACCTTGATGAGATTCAAGGACTTGCTATATGAGTACTACTTCCCGAAGATAATGAAGGATGCTAAGGAGGCAGAGTTTCTCCACTTGACTCAAGGCTTTATGACGGTGGCCCAGTATGATAAAAAGTTTATGTAACTCTCCCATTTTGCTCTGGATCTAATCCCGACTGAGGCAGGGAAGATTAAAAGGTTCGTTAACGGCCTGTGTAAGGGGATTAAAGAACCAGTTGACCTTCGGCAGCCAACCACTTACGCAGAAGCAGTCAAGGGTGCCTTGATTATGGATAAAGACGACACTAATAAAGCTTAACTACAACAGGAAGTCGGCTTCGACTCCTCCTCAGGAGTAAAAGGGAAGGTTCCTTCATCATCTGATAGTCAACATTTAAAGACCACCCCCCAGCAACAGACTCAAAGGAAAGTCGATTCCCCGTTATGTCCTGCTTGTCAGAGGCATCACTCTGGTCTATGCTGGTTCGGGAAGAGGGTTTCTTTTAATTGCGGAAAGGAAGGTCACTATTATAGAGAATGCCCAATGCTTGATTCAAACACTCAAAGGTTAGCTCCGAATGTACCAATGTAGGGTAGTGCTAAGAAGGTGCGCGTGTTTGCCCTTACTAACGAAGGAGTAGAGGATGCTATTGTTATAGGTACTCGTACTCATCCTCGTTTGTTTATGCTCTCCCCCTCTTGAAAGTGATATTATTGGAATTACCATTGCTTTGAGTCAGCTTGTCTTTGTAAGTTATTTATTTATTATCTCTGCTTTTGTGTGTTAAGTGCGCCTTAAGTTGGAACTGCTGGGTTGTTCATTGTAGGTCCTCACGTTGTCAGACTCGGTGTTAGTTGTTAGTTAATTAGTGAAGTGGGGGAAAACTCTCTATAAATTCGGTTTATCAAGAGTTAAACAACTTCTTTAAAGGTAAAAGAAAAGGAAGCATGGCAACTAGTTAACTTAGGAAGGTGAAGACTCTTCTACCTAGAGATATACCTGTTAAGATCTCGGTTAGAGAAACTAAAACCTTAAGGAGGCAAGATTTTTTTCCTTAGTAAAGTTGTTGCAAAGAAGCACCTATTTAGTCGAGGAAGATTTTGGACAAGCACCTAGGACTGCTGATTGGTCAACTTTAAAGGATGAAAGTTCTTAAGGTAGGTAGTTTGTAACACCCCAGTGTTTAGAGTTGTGCGACCAGTCAACTTTCGAGGACAAAAGTTTTTTTTAGGTGGGTAGTCTCTAACAACCCAATTTTCGAGTTATTTTTATCTTAAGATTTAAATTCGGCCTTTCGAATTTTTCCCCTCAGTTGGTAATTAAATTTTAGGTTTCCAAGTTGGAGTTCTAATTTTGAGTAAATTAAAATTAAGTTTAATTTCGTTGGATTAAGATAGATTTAGTTTTCAATTTTTGGAAGAGATTTTTAATTAAATCTTATTCCAAGAGTTTGGTAATTTAATTTCTCTTTTGATTTTTATTATTGTGTTTCAAATTTATTTTTCCAAAATCTTTTGAAGTGGCTTTTGTTTTTATTAAATGGTTAAGAAGAATTCCAACTCTTTTTAGGGCTTAGCCCATTCTTTAGTTGGCCTATCCCTTTTTGATAAAGAAAAATATATTAAAGAAAAGGTTTTGTTTTTTTTAAAACAAAACAAAGCCCTAAAGAAAAGTCATCTTCTTCCCCTTCATCTAACCCTAGCTGCCACCCTATGGTTTCATTTCCATCGGCCAGCACCTCCCTCCGGCGGTCATTGACAAGCAGCGGTGGAATTCTATCCCAACAACCGGCGACGACACCATGAACCCGTCGTAGACGTCGCTTGATACAGTAGTTCAGTCATGTCTCCTAGTAGCAGCGGCGCGTCATTTCGATCGGTGGCAACTCGTACCAGATCTTTGGTCGCGCGACATTGAGGTTCCTCCAGCGGCTTTTTCAAGCAACCCCAACCACGAACAATCAGATCCAGTGACCCGTGCCCGAACTCGTGTCGATCAGTGGTTCGGCAGCAACTTTTGGTGGCCACAAAAAGCGTTCTACTTGATGGCTCACATCCTTCAGCGTTGTTTTTACAGCCACCCGCACCCCGACATAAACAGTAGCAGACACGCGAAGGTTTCTTTGTTCCGGCGAGACTCGGGTTGACCCATCCTTGTTTGGAGCTGGTTTCGAGTTACCAACACGCAAACGGGACTAGATTTGAGTTACATGCCACTATTCAGATACAAATAGACATTACCCATTGCTTTTCGGCATCGGACCAGCAAGCGCAAAGCCGACTTAGATTTGGAAGTCCGAACCTCCTTGGCGTCGACCCACTCCTAACCCAAGAGGTTTTAGTGTGAGTTAGTAGGTAACGAATTCAGTAAACTTTGTTTCGATTAAAATTAAGCATTTTTAGATGAACTCGAACCTGAGTTTGGTTGTTTTGGATTTAGGAACCGTTCGACGAGCTTAGTAGCGCGTTAGGACCTTCGTTGTAAGTAGTTCTTACTTAAAGGGATTTTTTGTTGTATACTGCTATGAACTTGTTGTTTGTGGTGCGCCTATGAGTGCCGGTTGCATGATTGTTTGAGATCGACGTTACCTTATAAATGTTGTTGATGATATAATTGCTAGGTAACATTTGGAAATACATGTAGTTGTATGATATATTGTATCATGAGCTGTGTAGACATGTTTGATGTAATAATGGTAGACTATGTGGTTGATGTTATGTTCTGGTTGGGCTGTAATGTGAAAGTCGTGTTAACTATTCTTGTTCTGTGACTTGTTGTGTGTGGAGCGTGCTGGCTTTATTGACATCTTGTTTGGTAAAATGTATGTTGGCATTGTTTTTCTGAATTCAAAGCATGTTAAATGTTGAGAGAATGATACTCTCATTATAGTGGATTATTAAGAGTTAAAGTGCTATAGCCCAAATATAATTGCTCTTTAATTTGTTACCCACGTATAAATTAATTATTAAATTAATTCCAACAGGCAGAGTTCGTTGTGCTCGAGCGGAGCAGATTACACCATCAGGTTTTGTCCTTCATGTGTGGTTGTTTGGCGATTGGTCGAGCTTGATGAATAGGAAAGGAGATATGCCATTCGTTTATACCTTAATCAAATATTTCAAAATGAACATAATAAAAAAAAATCAATGTTCTAAAGTTTCAACCCATCTTTATTGTTCGTTAGGTTTTTGTTACTCAATGCTCCATATATTATATTAATTATTGATGAAATCTTATGACAATTATCAATATTGAGTATTAATGCCAAAGCGAACATACCTTAGTGGTAATTGGCATATACCTCCAACTAAGAGGTTGTGAGTTCGAATCCCCTACCAACATGTTGTGTGAATTCACTAGTTAAGTACCTATCTCGGAACCAAGACCAAGAGCGTTCAAATTTATTACAGTTATATATTTGAATCAGTTATAAGTTTTTCTAGTATTTGTTAGACTTATGTGGCATATTTCTTGACTTCACCAACAAGCATCAGTCGTGTTGACTATCCGTCGAACCATTGGTACCCTGTTTTGTTCATTGTTGCAATTATCTCCTTCGGTGCATCTACCCCTTTTCTTCCTCCCTTTCCAATCATCGTCCATCACTCCAAAGGGGTTGTTTTACCATCCTTATAAATCTAGAACAAAAATCTCTCTTCTACCTTCATTCCATAATAGAAATGAATGACATTTCATTCGGATAAGTGCAAAAACGAGTTGGTCGTTCATCGAAGGAAGGGGTGGTGGGAGCAAGTGGAAGACGAGCGGTGGTAGTAAGCACAGGTGAAGAGAAGGAGGTGATAGTTGGTGCTGTGTGCGATGACAAGTACTCGCTGGATAAAATGAAATGTGTTGAAGGGAATACTACAATGTGATATGTGGACCAATCAAGTCAGCTGGGTATCATCAGATTCGTTCAATTTTGTTAATGGAAAAGACCGACCTCTTCCTCGGTTCTCATTTATTTGACCTCCACCATCTCCTTTGCTAGGTAGACGAAATTGGCCAGGTCCACGAGGCCATGGTTTGTATTGCAATTCAGCAGCATATTCATCAAATTATTCCTCGCGTTCCTTAAGTAGATGGCCGAGTTTACCACATCGATAGCACGAATCTAAAAGCTTCTGGTAGGTTATTGATGATATATGATGCAAGTTATACAAAGACAATATGTAATTACCAATAGCTTAATGCTCTTGGTCACTAAGACTTGATTACAATATATAACTTGAAGTCAAAGCACAACAATGAAAAAAACTATGCAATAAAAATGAAAGAAAACAAATATTAACTCAAAGCACAGTGAATTAACCTTACTTATCTAGGTTGTCGTTTGGTTTTGAGGACATTTGGAGGGGCTGTTCTCTCAAAGAAATTCAGTGGCTGCACAAAAGGCTTCTCTCGAGTAGGGATTTTGAGTGGGGCGGCTGTCCTCCTTCTTTAGGACCGTCCTACTTGAACAAAATTATCCAAAAATAGTTTTAGAATGTCAATAAACCAAAAAATAGGATTACTTGCCCAAAAGAAATCGATTTGGAACGGATTTGATAGCCCAAATATCTTTCCCAAATTTGTCTAGCTCTAAATAAGAAAAGTTTTATGATTCTACACTTCTTATTCAACCACTAATAACTTTCGCTACAGACCTTGGATGGCAGAGATCTTAGTGTCTTTGAAAATCTTTTTCAATGACCTTCAATTTGGTCTAACAAAAAAAGTCAAAAAGATATGAATCGTCAAATTGACATAGGGATTTCTCAGTTGCTGCAAGATTTACTAGAAAAGCAGTGCGTAATAATGAATTGATAACTTCCACACCACAAATTGAAATTAATAGATTATGGTTTTTCTGAAATTCTATCTTGATTATATTTGGAATGGTACTAATTTCACTCAATTTAGATGTTTGAGCAAAAAGATATGGTATATTGAAGTTGCTCTCGATTTTTGTCTCTCTGTAGGTTTCTCTCAAATTTTTGTGGTTCTAAGAAAAATTGATAGCTTTTGCTATAAGGCTCGCTTTAAAGTGAATTTTTTTTTTGGTGGAAAGCTTTTTGAATGCTGAGCACATAGAAACAAAATTTTGACACTTTAAAGTAATTTTCGAAATGAATAACTTTCATGTAGGAGTACTAGCTCATGGTAGACAAGAATAAGGGGATGATTTTTATTTTATTTTTTTGTGATTTGTTTTGAATAAGATGAAACCAAAGACAAAAAATGAAATTTAAATGCAATAAAGTAACATATATTCGATCTTTAGAGCCTTAACTCTTATACCAAATGATACAACGACTCAAACATATGGCTGATCTTAGCCTCTTAGCCTATTACCACTTTAACCCAATCATATAAGTGTTTTCAACCCGAAAGGAGAAGGGTTAGAGGGATTACATTTGCCCTCATTACCTTGAGCAGACAGAATAATCACTATGCTTGAGGTTGGAAACAATCCATGAGTTTG